GAATTGTCCTGGCTAACAGTTCACGTTAAATACGGGGGTTTAGTTTGCACACATTTGCAAATACATGCGTAAGCTACAGAGCCCCTTCATGGCCCCCCGATATTCTGCAGTTCCTAACTTGAGGGCAGGTAAGCCTGAAGGGAGCTCACCCCTGGACACTCAGCCACCCAGCATATAGCACAATGGCACCCCCCCCCCCCCCAGTCTTGTGGTGTTTGTTCCCCTCTCCAGTCCTGTGGTCTCCTATCCCCCCAGCCATGAGGTTTCTTTATCTTTCAGTCCTGCAGGGATCTGTGTTTCTTCCCCAGTCCTACAGTTTCTATACATCCTAGTTCTGTGGCCTCTGTACCCCCCCTCCAGTGCTGTGGTCTGTGTCCTCCCACTAGTTCTTTATTCTGTGTTCCCCAAACCAGTCCTTCATTTCTGTGTCCCCCCGCCACCACCAGTCCTTCATTCTGTGTCCCACCAGTCCTTCAGTCTGTGCCCCCTCCACCAGTCCTTCATTCTGTTTCCCATCAGTCCTTCATTCTGTGTCCCCACCACCACCAGTCCTTCATTCTGTGTGCCACCAGTCCTTCAGTCTGTGCCCCCTCCACCAGTCCTTCATTCTGTGTCCCATCAGTCCTTCAGTCTGTGCCTCCTCCACCAGTCCTTCATTCTGTGTCCCATCAGTCCTTCATTCTGGGCCCACTAGTCTTTGGTGGGGGAACGTTAGCCCCTGAAATATGTTGGGTTTTGTGTTTTCTACTGGTTGTAGGAAGGATTCACGGACTCCTAATCGGTCATTTGTTGCTTGGTTTCTTCCATTCACCTATTCTCCTCAAGTAGGGTGGTTCCCACTTCAGTAGGTCCACCCCCCACTCTGTGTCTCCTGCGCAGTTGTTCCATAAGAACCAGCATCAGCTTACACACGAAGAAAAGCTAAGCTCCATGTCCGGGGCCTCTGTATCTCCTCTGTTATTCCAGTTCTCCAGCCCTGTTAACATAACTCCCGACTTTTGAACCTGAGAGAGAGGGACACCTTTGGATGGAGAAGACACCTGGCATCAAGAGTGCACGTGATGATCAATGGGGGTGAGGGGCAACATTGATGCTGAGAGGGAAGGAGTGGGGGAACAATAGTGCCCAGGGGTAGGTGGTGGGGAATGATAGGGCTTAGCAGGGGAAACAATATTGCCCAGCAGAGGGTTGGAGAAGAATAAAAATGTCCAGCAAGGGGTGGGGGATAAAAAGTGCTCAGCAGAAGGTGGGGGGACCATAGTGACAACCAGTGGGGCCAATATCCCAGCACAGTCCCATGGAGTCCAAGATGGCCCAGCTCCCCGTGCTCTTTTTGGACAATGGACAAAATCTAGTTTCAAGATTGCTCCCCCAAATTCTTCAAAAGGGTTCAATTTTAAGTTTGGGTTTTGAGGATTTGACAAATTCCTCCACAAATGGAAATGGCCACATAAGCTCAGCCATAAAAAAAATATGTCCCTACTAACATAACATATGCAATTAAAAACCATCCAACCAGTTAATAATATTGCTTTAGGGAAAAAAAACATCATTTAGTTGGTGTTCCAGAAACATGGCTTGGCTCTTCCCAAGACTGGGCTGTTTGTATTCATGCTGATCCTCTTGTTTAGAGGGACACGGGACATAGAAAACATGGAGGGGAGTTTCTCTATGTTAGATGTGCCGGAGATTGTGATGGGCTGAGGCACTATGTGTGGAAGGATTTATGGACTGACAAGAAAAGACATCGACATATACGGATCTGAAGGTGGACTTTTAATAATCAACTTACAAAGAATATCATATATTTTATCATTCATTCATCCACCAGCAATATCTTACATGGTTGGTAAGGAGGACACCAGTCCATCCAGTTCAAGCTGTGTCAATGTGTGTGTGGGATTATGTCACTACCAATTCCCATCCAATGAAAGTCTAAACGTTCTGTGAAATTATCGACACTTCCCACTGACACCACCAACTGTGGAAGGAAGTTCCACATCCTTACTGTTCTAACAGTAAAGCACCCCCTACCCAATTTAAGATTAAACTGCTTCTCATCCAATTTCTTTGTGGCCCCCGTGTCTTCTTGAGCAACCCGAGACTGAATAGTTTCCTCCCTCAGCTAGAATCACCATTAACATATTTGTATATTATGATCATATCTCCTCTTAAGTGTCTTCTGTCTATGGAAAATTAGCTCAATGTGTGTAGCCTTTCCTGATAGCTGAGGTCCTCCATCCCCTATACCCTTGGTCCTCCATCCCCTATACTTGAGGTCCTCCATCTCCCATACCTGAGGTCCTCCATAACTGAACTCCTCCATCCCCCATGACCGAGGTCCTCCATCCCCCAGACCCTAGGTCCTCCATCCCCTAGAACTGACGTCATCCATCCCACATAACTGAGGTCTTCCATCCACATAAAAGAGGTTCTCCATCCCACATAACCGAGGTTCTCAATCCTCAATAACTGAGGTTCTCCCTCCTCATAACTGAGGTTCTCCCTCCTCATAACTGAGCTACTTCATCCCTCATAGCTGAGCTACTTCATCCCTCATAACTGCAGTCCTCTATCCCACATAACCAAAGTTCTCCATCCCTCATAACTGCGGTCCTCCATCTCACATAACCGAAGTTCTCCATCCCTCATAACTGCGGTCCTCCATCCCCCATAACCGATGTTCTCCATCCCACATAACTGAGCTCCTCCATCCCCCATAACTGAACTCCTCCATCCCCCATAACTGAACTCCTCCATCACTCATAACCGAAGTCCTCCATCCTACAGAACTGAGCTACTTCATCCCTCATCACTGAGATTCTCCATCTGATATAACTGAGGTCCTCCATCCCCCATAACTGAACTTGTCTATCCCTCATAATTGAGGTTCTCCATCCCACATAACCGAGCTCCTCCATCCCCCATAACCGAGGTACTCCATCCCTCATAACCGAGGTCCTCCATCCCTCATAACCGAGGTCCTCCATCCCTCATAACCGAGGTCCTCCATCCCTCAGAACTGAGCTACTTCATCCCTCATCACTGAGATTCTCCATCTGATATAACTGAGGTCCTCTATCCCATATAACTGAGGTCCTCCATCCCCCATAACTGAGGTCTTCCATCCCACATAACTGAGGTCTTCCATCCCACATAACTGCAGCCCTCCATCCCTCATAACGGAGTTCCTCCCTCCCACATAAAAGAGGTTGTCCATCCCACATAACCGAGGTCCTCCATCCTCAATAACTGAGGTTCTCCATTCTCATCCCACATAACTGCAGCCCTCCATCCCTCATAACGGAGTTCCTCCCTCCCACATAAAAGAGGTTGTCCATCCCACATAACCGAGGTCCTCCATCCTCAATAACTGAGGTTCTCCATTCTCATCCCACATAACTGCAGTCCTTCATCCCCCATAACCAAAGTTCTCCATCCCTCATAACTGCGGTCCTCCATCCCCCATAACTGAGCTCCTCCATCCCTCATAACCGAGGTCCTCCATCCTACAGAACGGAGGTCCTCCATCCTACAGAACTGAGCTACTTCATCCCTCATCACTGAGGTTCTCCATCTGATATAACTGAGGTCCTCCATCTCCCATAACTGAACTCGTCCATCCCTCATCATAATTGAGGTTCTCCATCCCCCATAACTGAGGTCCAACATCCCTCATAACCGAGGTCCTCCATCCTACAGAACTGAGCTACTTCATCCCCCATCACTGAGGTTCTCCATCTGATATAACTGAGGTCCTCTATCCCCCATAACAGAGGTCCTCCATCCCACATAACTGAGCTCCTCCATCCCCCATAACCGAGGTCCAACATCCCTCATAACCGAGGACCTCCATCCTACAGAACTGAGCTACTTCATCCCTCATCACTGAGGTTCTCCATCTGATATAACAGAGGTCCTCCATCCCCCATAACTGAACTCCTCTATCCATCATAATTGAGGTTCTCCATCCCACATAACTGAGCTCCTCCATCCCACGTAACTGAGCTCCTCCATCCCCCATAACCGAGGTCCAACATCCCTCATAACCAAGGTCCAACATCCCTCATACCAAGGTCCTCCATTCCCCAGACCCTAGGTTCTTCATCCCCCAGAACGGAGGTCCTCCATCCTACAGAACTGAGCTACTTCAGCCCTCATAACTGAGGTTCTCCATCTGATATAACTGAGCTCCTCCATCCCCCATAACGGAGGTTCTCCATCCCCTATAACTGAGCTCCCCCATCCCCCATAACTGAGCTCCCCCATAACTGAGCTCCTCCATCCCCCATAACAGAGGCTCTCCATCCCCCATAACTGAGGTCCTCCATCCCTCATAACAAAGGCTCTCCATCCCCAATAACTGAGCTCCTCCATCTCCCATAACAGAGGTTCTCCATCCCCCATAACTGAGCTCCTCCATCCCCCTTATTAGATTTGTCGCCCTTCTCTGGACTCTCTCCAGTTCCAGTACCTCCTTCCTGAGGATTGGTGACCAACACTGCACAGCAGATACAACTGAAGCAGAGTTGTGTAAAGTAGTAGTTTCATCTCCGGAGGTCGTCCCCTTTGTAATGCACGCTGATAGTCCTAGGACCCCCAGATCCTTTCCTATCCTTCATTCCTCCAGAAGTTCTCTTGCACCTCTTTCATCGGGATTTCTCTCTATGAAGAGCAGGGGAGATCAGACTAAATCGCAGGAGGGACCTAAACAGAAATGGTATGCCCCCTCCCTCCTAGCAGAGTAGGTCAGATAGAACCTTGATGTCTTTGGTGATTTTCTTTTGAGGATTTTTTTTTTGTACATGACGTGTATCCAGGTTCTCAGCCACATTGCGAGATCTCTAAGAGGCTGCAAAATATCATTCCGTTTTTGAGACATTTCCCGCACTCAGGTCTCTAACCTGTCTCAACAGCAGTGTGGTTTCTCTGATGCTTGGCAAGACTGGATTGTTCTGAAAAACTTTTCCCGCACGTGGGGCATGTATACGGCTTCTCTCCCGTGTGGCATCTCTGGTGTTTAGCGAGATCCGATTTATTTACAAAACATTTCCTGCACTCGCTGCAGGGATATGGCTTTACCGCTGAGTGAAATCTCTGATGTCTAGCAAGATAGGACTTCTCATAAAAACATTTCCCGCACTCAGGGCAAGGATACGGCTTCTCCCCTGTGTGAGACCTCTGATGTCTGACAAGGGCCGATTTCAGCAGATAACATTGCCCGCACGTAGGACAGGAATACGGCTTCTCCCCCGTGTGATATCTTTGGTGTGCGACAAGTTCTGATTTCCGTGGATAACATTTCCCGCACTCAGGACAGGAATATGGCTTATCCCCCGTGTGATATTTTAAATGTGTGACAAGTGTTGATTTCAGCGAATAACATTTCCCGCACTCAGGGCACGAGTACGGCTTTTCTCCTGTATGAGACCTCTGGTGTGCATCGAGATTTGATTTACCAAAGAAACATTTCCCGCACTCAGGACAGGAATATCGCTTCTCCCCCGTGTGACATGTCTGATGTGCAGAAAGATATGACTTACGTGAAAAACTTTTCCCGCACTCAGGGCAGGAATAGGGCTTCTCTTCTGTGTGAGACCTCTGATGTCTGACAAGGTCTGATTTCATTGGGAAACATTTCCCGCACTCAGGACAGGAATAGGAAATCTTGTTTGCATGAATCATTTGATGCCTCATAAGTTGGGTATGCCAAGCAAAACATTTCCCACACTCTGTGCAGGAGTATGGTTTCTCTCCCGTGTGGGATCTCAGATGTCTGACAAGAGCTGATTTCACTGGGAAACATTTCTCACACTCGTTACAGGAGAACGGCTTCTCCCCCGTGTGGGAGGTTAGATGTCTGACCAGTGCCGATTTATATGGGTAACATTTCCCGCACTCGGGGCAGGGATAAGGCTTCTCTTCTGTGTGAACCGTTAGATGTCTGACAAGCGTTGCTTTGCGTGAACAACATTTCCCGCACACAGGACAGGAAAATGACTTCTCCTGTCTGTGAGATAACTGATGTCTACTTAAACCCGATTTATTGATAAAACATTTCCGGCACTCAGAACAGGAATACGAATTCTTGTTTCCATGAATCATTTGATGCCTCATCAGTTGGGTTTGCCACGCAAAACATTTCCCACACTCTGTACAGGAGTACAGCTTCTCTCCCGTGTGGGATCTCAGATGTCTGACAAGAGCCGATTTCACTGGGAAACATTTCCCGCACTCATTACAGGAATACGGCTTCTCCCCGCTGTGGGATCTTTTATGCACATTAAGACTGGCTTTAGAATGGAAACATTTCCCGCACTCATGGCAGGAATACGGCTTCTCCCCCGTGTGAGATCTTTTATGCCTATTGAGATCAGATTTAGAATGGAAACATTTCCCGCACTCAGTACAGGAGAACCTCTTCCCTGTTGGAAGGCTGTCCCGGTCCCACACAGTCTGAGGTTCCTCAGGATATGAGGAATCCGATGGTCCATCTACAATGGGTGGTGCCGGATGGACATTGGAGAGAGTCGGGTTTTCTCCTGGACTATACTGTGTGATGTCCTCATCTTCTACTTTCCAGTCTGGAAACAAAGTGAGACAATCCTCGGAGGTTTTCCTCATCTCCTGGCCATGGACTAAAATACAAAGACAAAGAGGATTACTAGACAGGAGCTGATTGGTTCCCCTAAACCAAAATTGAGTTTGTTACTGAGGATCATAAATGGTTCCTCCTGACCTCCAAGCAGTTCACTTCTATATTCATTGACCTTGTCAGAGAGTGAGGGGACCAATGAGAACCATCTCTATAGGAGTGAAAGAAGTGAGGGGACCAATGAGAACCGTCTCTATAGGAGTGAAAGAAGTGAGGGGACCAATGAGAACCATCTTGATAGGAGTGAAAGAAGTGAGGGGACCAATGAGAAGCGTCTCTATATGGGTCAAAGAAGTGAGGGGACCAATGAGAACCGTCTCTATAGGAGTGAAAGAAGTGAGGGGACCAATGAGAACCATCTTTATAGGGGTGAAATAAGTGAGGGGACCAATGAGAACCATCTTTATAGGGGTGAAAGAAGTGAGGGGACCAATGAGAACCATCTTTATAGGGGTAAAAGAAGTGAGGGGACCAATGAGAACATCTTTACAGGAGTGGAGGGGATTATAATTCGAGAGTTTTCACCCCTCCAACTTTCTTCGCTTAATCTTTTAGTAACGAGGCCGAGCCCCACCAGAGCCTGACCAAGATGAAGCCTGGACTGACATTGAAGGCCACCATGATTGGGTTACATTTTGTCATTGATGGTTCCTATCCTCTGAGAATGCGGTCACCTTCCTATAGACGCGGTAAAGTCTGAGCTCTGTATATCAGTGGGAAGAGAGCAATTCATGATGAATGCAGCTCAAAATTCATACTAAAAAAATTCACAATTCCCTCCCTCCTCTTGAACTTTACACGCCTTTCCCAGGTCAGTGACTGAGGTACTCAGGCCAGGGGTTCAGCCTCACAGCCAGATAAATAGTACTTTAAGCAGAAGGTGTGTTCTATTGTGCCCCCGACATATACTTCATGACCTACCTGTGCTGATCTCTGTAGGAGTGTCCTCCTCTATAAATGTCCCCGTTATTCCATCCTCCTCCATAGACTGCTGATCATCCCTCACATACGCCTCTTCTTCTTCTGATTTCACCTCCACTTTTATATCTGCCAGATCTTTACCCTAAACCAAGAGAAGGAGAGAAAATACCATCCTGTAGGGTCCACACATCATCTACATGAGTCACTTTCATGTTCTAGATGATCTATCCTACCTACCTGGTCCTTGTGAAGGATGGTGTGACCTTCCTGTGTGGAATCCCGGGAATACAGAGGACGGGGACATCTCTCTGGTGGGTTCCTGTAGCTGGATGACTCCACCATGGTGTCCTGGTACAGATCTTTGTGTCCTTCTGGAATCTCTGACTCCTCCATCACCCCATCCTCATCCTCCTCCTCTTTTATCTCTTCCTTAACATCAACTGTAGAATCTCTCAGGTTTCCACTCTGAATATATAATAAAAATTACATCAATGGTAACAATGCAGAAAATGTACAGATCCTAATGATACTATCAGTGATTGTTCCTCCTCTACCTGACGATGGTGAGGGATGGTGTGACCTTCCTGTGTGGAGTCCCGGGAATACAAAGGACGGGGACATCTCTCTGGTGGGTTCCCATGACTGGATCCATCTACCTGATGATGGTGAGGGATGGTGTGACCTTCCTGTGTGGAATCCCAGGAATACAGAGGACGGGGACATCTCTCTGGTGGGTTCCCATGACTGGATCCATCTACCTGATGATGGTGAGGGATGGTGTGACCTTCCTGTGTGGAATCCTGGGAATACAGAGGATGGGAACATCTCCCTGGTGGGTTCCCATGACTGGATCCATCTGTAGGAAACACACACACTGACTGAATCCATTGTTTCTATGTGTTTATCAGATGATGGGGGATCTAGGTGGAGCCTCCGCACTGCTCTCTTCTTTCCAATAAAGTCTCCTCTTACCCGGTGATGTAAGGGGCAGCTGATTGTCCATCATGACGTCCTTGTAGAGGTCCTTGTGTCCTTCTAAATACTCCCACTCCTCCATGGAGAAATAGACAGTGACACCCTGACACCTTATAGGAACCTGACACACACAATGATACAGTCACCATCCAGACACATCCCTTGTCTGTTACTGGAGAATGTCCCAGAATTCCCGGCACCGCTCACCTCTCCTGTCAGCAGTTGGACCATCAAGGTGGTCAGTTCCAGGATCTTCTGCTCTTTGTTCCTCTCAGGTATCGGAGAATGAGGGGGAGGCACCATGGTGGGGCTCTGGTCCTGCTCCATCCTCCTGAGATTGGCTCCCCACTAAACTTCTTCACTACAACATAATCCTACAGATCAGGAGAAAGAGAAACCGATATCAATCATCTGACATCATCTACATGTCTACAAGAAGAACATGGTCTATTGGCCAGACTAGATCAGAGTGATGTCATGTGACCTCCCAGAATCCTCCTCACCTCTCCGGTCAGCAGGTAGATGATCTCCAGGGTGAGGTTTAGTATCCTCTCACTCATGTGACTCCGGTCCTCCTCCATCCTCATTGGTCATGTGATCTATACAAGTTTCCTGTAGACCAATAATTGATAACAGAGAATGATCCGGACTGTACTGGTTGTACAATATTAGGATGGGGGGGAGGGGGGATAATATGAGGGTCTCTATAATGGAAGAATGGCCCCCAGTGGGATTACACACAGAGGAACATTCAGTTTAGGGTTTGCTGTGGTTTGTGATCCGGGAGTCAATATTCGTTTAGCTCGATGGGTCACAAAGCTCTTTTTCTATGTAAGGTCCGTAGTTCTTGATCCACCAACAAAGAAAGACAATAAATATTCTCTGTCTAAATACCCCATCCCCCGCCACTAATACAAGTGATATAATGGGTCAGTATAGACTGAGGAGGTGAGAAGGTGATTGGTGGGAAAGGTGACATCTCCACAATGAGGAGAATGTTCCGACCCCAGAAGTGGGGGAATGTTCTGCCCCTGAAGGGGTTAATCTGGGTTCCCACACTATATATGTCTGTATCATCATCTGCTGGAGATAAAAGACGTCACAGTGACGGTGGAGGAAGAGGACGGACGTGACGGTGGAAGAAGAAGACGGACGTGACGGTGGAAGAAGAAGACGGACGTGACGGTGGAGGAAGAGGACGGAAGTGACGGTGGGGGAAGAGGACGGAAGTGACGGTGGAGGAAGAGGACGGGCGTGACTGTGGAGGAATAGGACGGACGTGACGGTGGAGGAATAGGACGGAAGTGACGGTGGAGGAATAGGACGGAAGTGACGGTGGAGGAATAGGACGGAAGTGACGATGGAGGAATAGGACGGAAGTGACGGTGGAGGAATAGGACGGAAGTGACGGTGGAGGAAGAGGACAGACGTGACGGGTGGAGGAAGAGGACGGGAGTGACGGTGGAGGAAGAGGACGGACGTGACGGTGAAGGAAGAGGACGGACGTGACGGTGAAGGAAGAGGACGGACGTGACGGTGAAGGAAGAGGACGGACGTGACGGTGAAGGAATAGGACGGACGTGACCGTGGAGGAATAGGACGGACGTGACGGTGGAGGAAGAGGACGGACGTGAAAATAAGACCTTATTACCTCCTCTGCTGCCACTTCCAGCAATGTCTCCTCTCTACTTCCTCCCAAGTCAACTCTCACCCGCAACTTCCCATTTATACCTGACATCACTTCCTGTCTGTCCCTGACATCACTTCCTGTCATACATGGAGACTTCCTGTCTGGGTAGAAGTGGAATCACCACCTTGTGGAGCTCAGAGGAACTGCGGCCCCAAGAAACATCTCAACGAGTGTCTCTCAGTCAAGTGGGGATCTGAGTTTCTTCCCTATCCTATGGTCTCTGGTCCCCCCAGTCATGTGGTCTCTGGTCCCCCCAATTCATGTGGACTCTGGTCCCCCCAGCCATGTGGTCTCTGGTCCCCCCAGTCATGTGGTCTCTGGTTTCCCCAGTCATGTGGTCTCTCTGGTCCCTCCAGTCATGTGGTCTCTGGTCCCCCCAGTCATGTG